ATAGATTTATTAAAGTAAATGAGTGTGACATTAAAATTCTAATAAAAATATACACTCGTTCCAAAACTTATGCTGTTGGCATTAATAAAATGATAAAAAAAAGGACTAAAATGTACATAAGGATGCACAAGGGTTAAGCGTTGCACATTAACTCCATGTAAAAACGAAATATCTGCAGTGGCTGTAGGGGTGTGCGAGGTGTAAAACAGATTTATTAAAGTAAATGAGTGTGACATATTAAAATTCTAATAAAAATATACACTCGTTCCAAAACTTATGCTGTTGGCATTAATAGAATGATCAAAAAAAGGACTAAAATGTCCATAAGGATGCACAAGGGTTAAGCGTTGCACATTAACTCCATGTAAAAACGAAATATCTGCAGTGGCTGTAGGGGTGTGCGATGTGACGGTTTTTGATCGTGGACGATTAAAATGTCTCCACGATCTGCTTTTGAAGAAATATCGTAGTATTACAGAGCACATTCTATTAGATGCAGTTCTGGCTCCTCTGTCTCAATATACTGTACAACGCCACATGCATTCACCTCACATTTTGAAAGTAAACAATTGAGAGAAAACGGATGTGTGCCTGTATATTAGTGTATATATATATATATATTTATTACAGTGAAGTGTATGTAGTGTTTTTTTTTTTAAATATTTGTTCATTCAATTTCTTGAATGCTACTGCTAAATACACCTGCTGTACCTGAAAAATAAAGCACTGTTTGTTTTATGTGTATATTATCTGTATCTTTGTTCTTATTTTTTAATAACAAAGATAAAATAATGACAAAGATTTTTATCTTCGCCCACTTAAAAAAAAAAAAAAATTAACAAACATCTGTTACACTTTATTTTAAGGTGATGTTGTTACAGTGTAATTACACAATTAAGTAAGCTACTGAGTGATACTAATTACTACAATAATAATTACATGTACTTACTGTAGGAGTTATGGTTTAGTTTAGGGTTAGTTAGTTAGTTATTACTAATAGTAAGTGCATGTAACGTGTAACTATGTCACCTTAAAATAGTGTTACCAAAATATCAATTCATATAAATGTAAAATTAATAGATTTTTTTCAGTCTATTGTATTAGCATTTTTTGTCCCTTATTTTGGACATAGGTGCTAAATATTATTTATATATGTAAATGTACAAAATATTTTATTTCATGATTTTTATGTATCATATTTCATTGAAAATTCAATTTATTACGATTGACAGAAAAAAAACAGTTAAAAGATTGTCAACTCGCATGACATTACAAAATATTCAACATGTTTATAAAAGCTGCTTATTGTATATATATATAAAAAAGTAAATATCATATTATGTGACTGTTTACTTAAAGGAAAACATGCAAACTACTAGTTCTGCATTAAAAATAAATGGTGCAGCCAAACGGAAACCAAACTAAATAGCTGATCCTAAGCTCCTAGAGTGAACTCAGACCCAGTTTGAAGATGTTACAAAGATACTTCATATTTCTGCCAAAATGCTGGAATTCATTGCTCATGTTGTTCCAAACCTTTATGACTTTCTTTCTTCTATGGAACACAAAAGTAGATATTTTGAGAATTATCACAGTGAGTTTAAGTTCTTTCTAAAACCCTCTGGTTACCAATATTGTTCAAAATATCTTCATTTGTGTTCAACAGAATTAAAAGAAAGTCATACAGGTTTGGAACAACATAAGCAATGAATTCCAGCAACTTGACAAAATAAAGTGACAAAGTATCTTTATAACATCTTAATCAAACTGAGTCGTAAACATTATAAAGGGTGAGTAAATCACGCATTTTTATTTTTGGGTGATCTATGCCTTTAATACTTTTCTGTATTTTTGCATAAATTGAACCTAAACTGTAAAAAAAATAAACAAATAAAATCAGTGATTACTGCTAGTTTACTGTATTAATTAATCATCACTTTGAGACAGAGGTCAAAGGTCAACTAATGGACTTTGGATGGATGTCACTGTTAATGCATTACAACACCTTTCAGAGCAAATCAGTCTTAAAACTAGCAAGCTGCCTACCTAGACAACATTTCTAGATGTTTTAGGGGTTAACACGTATTCCTGGTCAAAGGTTAACTGGAGTCGTAAACCTAAACCTAGACGGTGAAACACTATGGAATACCCTATTTACTGCAGGACAGGGTAAGAGGGTCTCAGGTACCGTAGTCGGGCTCCGGGTGGACGGTCTTCAGCCGCAGGTATTCTCTGAACAGGGTCACTGAAGGGTCTTCTGTCCCGGGGCTGTCCTGGACTCCTCCGCCTCCGCTCGGTCCATCTTTATCAGGCAACATACCGGTCCACTCTCCTGCGGGACCAGACGGTTTATTATTAACTAATACACACTCTCTCACACACACACACACACACATGTGGATCTTGAACGTTCAAATCATATTTCACCTCAAAATCAACACAAAGTCTGCTGAAGGGCCATTTTATTTATTCATTTATTATTGTACGTTGTAACATTATATTCATGAAGTACATTTTCATGAAACATAGCACTTATAACTGTGATGCAAAAAGTGATAAATGACACTTTAATTCAACAAAGATGCATTAAATTGATCAAAAGTGACAGTAAAGACATTTAAAATACTGCAAAAGATTTATATTTCAAATCAATTCTGGTCATTTGAATTTTCTATTCATCAAAAAAATCATGAAAAAGGGTATCAAGGTTTCCACAAAAATATGAAGCAGCACAACGTTTTCAACATTGCTAATAAATATTTCTTGAGCACCAAATCATCTTATCAGAATGATTTCTGCAGGATCATGTGACACTAAAGACTGGAGTAATGGCTGCTGAAAATTCAGCTTTGCCATCCTAATTTTGCAGATGACTTATTACTGGTTAGTTCTAGTTTCTTGAAACAATGTTGTTAGTTTACGCACCAGGCTTTATGGGGTTCGAACCCACAACCAGACAGTGGCTGGTCACATAAACTGCTTAGCCTAGTCTCAGTCTAAGACTTAGTATAAACGATGGTGCATTAAATGTTTGCATAAACCAATTTGTATTTTCATGTAACAAACCTACAAAAGTTACTCAAGAAAAAAAAATAGATGACTTGTAACACTAATCTAAGACGTTTATGCAACCGGCCACT